AACAGTATACACTTACAGGCTCTGGCGGCCGTGCCTGTATGATAACAGTATATAACAACTGATTGCAGATTCTATTTTTAATAGGAAAGAGTTATGACCCAAAAATGACTCCTTTGGCAAACTCAGTGAGATAGAGATATGATCTAACACATTTACAACGTTATTGAGTCAGTGTGTCGAAGAGTTGAAGATGACGGGTGAAAGTGATAGAATCTTGGCAGGTGAAAGTGTTGCCAGAGTATCAGTGAGAACATGCATGCCGGGGTCCCCAGAGGACACAAAACATTCAAGCCGATACCTACATCAGTGCCGAAGGTGATCTGTGGTAAACACTGTGGAGGGACTGTTGGGAAAATGACAGAGTACAGAGTGGGACGGAGGACTCGGAATGTTGGGAAAGTGACAGAGTACAGAGTGGGACGGAGGACTCGGAATGTTGGGAAAGTGACAGCGTACAGAGTGGGACGGAGGCCTCGGAATGTTGGGAAAGTGACAGCGTACAGAGTGGGACGGAGGACTCGCACGACGACGCGGCCATGGGCCACATCGTTGGACAGTTACAGTGGTGCCATTGTGTCCATAATGAGGGTTAAGGTGATCAGAATATGAATTAGAGGCGTTAGTGGTGTAGGGTACACGTAGTGGGCACAGTTACTTCTCTACCTCATCCTTCCCGCCCCCTCACAACGCTTCTTTACCTATACCCACAAATTCCTACCCAAAATTATCATTATTCTTGTTTATCCCCCTCCCCATCTCTCCTCCCCAGCTCCCCCACCTCACCGACTACGCCATTAATCAACACCTTCAGTTTCCTCTCACTTTTTACCAACATTGAAATGGGATTTTTCCAATTCATCTGTGTCCAACCCGGACCTCGGGGAGCGGTTGATGGGCGGAACTCTTCTGACTGATGGCGTAAAGTAATGCGACCGTTGATCTAGTGTCGTGCAACCGCTGGCCCAAAGTCAGCGGGTCTGACTTAATATATAGCTGACCTTATGCTATACAACCGTTAACAAAACAATCGGTACTGATCCCACTAGCTAACAGATGCTGTTTCTCGCTTTCAATCCACACAACCCTGAATGTAACAATCAACCTCTTCCTCTCCCCCCTTCCCCACCACCCTACCCGACCACCCCAAACCTTCTCCTGCCTGCTACCTCAACCCTACCTCATTCCCCACCCCCACAACCCCTCCAGGCCCGGTTCCCAACGATCATAGCTCCAGTTCCGGGAACGGCCCCACTCAGATCAACTTCACTTTTCATCTGGCGGGAACCTTAACGCAATTTCTTGACTGGACAGTAAGTGTTGTGTGTGTCTGTGTGTGTGTGCCAGGATCCGGGGCGCTCAAGACACACGGAGAGCACCTCAGGAAGCCTGTATCTAGGGAGCTCAAGACACACGGAGAGCACCTCAGGAAGCCTGTATCTAGGGAGCTCAAGACACACGGAGAGCACCTCAGGAAGCCTGTATCTAGGGAGCTCAAGACACACGGAGATCACGGGGCAGCTCGGGGTCCCTGAGATATAAGGTTGGTCATGTTTACTGGCTGGCGGGGCGAGCGCGGGACGGGGCGGCGACCAGTTGGCCAGATAATCACAGTAATGCATGTTGTTCCCAGATGCCCAACCCATTGTTCCAGGGAATATATAGCCTTGTTTTTCTTCCTATAATTTGCGCTCGTGTGTGTGTGTGTGTGTGTGTGTGTGTGTGTGTGTGTGTGTGTGTGTGTGTGTGTGTGTGTGTGTGTGTGTGTGTGTGTGTGTGTGTGTGTGTGTGTGTGTGTGTGTGTGTGTGTGTGTGTGTGTGCTCACCTAGTTGTGCTCACCTAGTTGTGTGTGTGTGTGTGTGTGTGTGTGTGTGTGGGTGCTCGTGAGTGTGTATGGGCGCTCGTGAGTGTGTATGGGCGCTCGTGATCGTGTGTGTGGGCGCTCGTGCGTGTGTGTGGGCGCTCGTGCGTGTGTGTTGGCGGTCGTGCGTGTGTGTGGGCGCTCGCGCAGACGCTGGTAGTGGAACTTTGTAGGTAGAGAAGATGGTATTGTGTTCGGGCACTCGAGGAACCGTATTAGTAATTTAAATAGTAATTATGTGACATATTAAGGAGTAAATACTACGGTTGAAGACGTTGTAGAATGGTGCTGTAATGGGGAAATTAAGTTCTTTTCCTTTACTTTAAGACTGAATTTAACACAACATTAAACAACACAGGAAAAGAATTAAAACTTTGGATGAACTAACTTTGGGAAGAACTGATTTTCTACTAGACTCATATATTAACTTTAATGCGCTGATTTAAAGCTAACTCAAATAGAATATTCATACAAGAAAACCTTACTAAAATACTTGTACTTGCAAATGTTAAAGTGAGTTCAGTTTAAAAATGTATACATAAACAAGTATCCTGAGTGTACCTGGAGTGGGTTCTAAGAGTTCTTCTACTCTCCAAGCCAGGTTGGACTTGTGATAACTTGGTCCAACAGGCTGTTGCTTGGAGCGCCCCGCAGGCTAACATATCCACTATAACCCGGCTGGTCCGCCATTTCTGTAGGAACTTATCCACTTTTTTTAAACTCGTCCACTTTTGCTCTGGCAATATTTCTTATATTTGTTGAGCGGATATTGAGTAGCAGTGGAGTAGGTGAACGATTCCCTACTTAGGCAGGAACTAGTAAAATTTAACAATTGGAGAGAAGCGATGAACTACTCTACACGAACCAGGCTATCGCAGGTTAACTATGTTGATTCATAAATCAAGGGAATGACTACACTTAAAGGCTGTCAGTCACTCCTATATGAATGACATTCCACTGTCCGGTGGCACACAGCTGATCACCTCCTCACATCTTACTCAAAATGAGTAAAACAGTACCCAGATACTGCCAAGAAAAAACTGAGTTCTGTGCTACTTACAGAAAGAAACAGGAGAAGCAAAAAATGGCATCACAGATCAGTCTGCTACCTCGAAGAGCTTCACCTGCTTGAGCAAGCCCGTGAGCTCCTGCCTGTAGAGAGGTTACCTCCCTGGGAGGATGACTCATGCTGGATTATTATTAATGAAATGGCAACGAAAACCTTCAACGTGATGCCACAAGAAATGAGGCACAATTATCTTGAGGAAATCTATAAAGAAGCCGGAAATAAATTAGATCAAATCTACACTGATGGGTCATCTAACCCTGTCAATGGCAGGGCTGGTGCAGCATACACTGTAATTAGGAATAATGCATTTCAACGCGAAAATGAAGAAAAAGCCCGTATTGAAAACTATGCCTCTTCAACTCAAGCAGAGCTAACTGCCATTGTTATGGCGTTAAAATTCCTAAAACGAAACACTAATGGTGCATTGATCTGCACTGATTCAAAAGCAGCTTTGCAAAGCCTTAGTAAAATTCGGGCAGAAAATCCTGCGATAGTCGCTGAAATCAAGAGAGCTGTGAGAGTACTTACCAATCAGGGAAGAGTCATCAAGTTTCTGTGGATCCCCTCCCATGTTGGAATATGTGGGAATGAACGAGCAGATGTGCTGGCTGCTGAAGACGCTGAAGGAGACCACATTGAATACTTCATACCCAAGACTCTACTACAAATTAGAGGTATCATCAGACAAAATCACCGCAACAAGGTTACTGTTGCAGTGTTACTAAAAGAGGACAGAAGCACAAAACAGTGAATCTGTACGCTGGTACAACATGGTTGCAGCTGGCAATCCCAATCATTATGGACGAAGAGGAGGAGGACGAGGGAGAGAATCAGTAATAGCAAGAATTCGTCTTGGATACAAATATCCATGGAGATTCGGAATGGAAACAACAGTTGAGCAGAGGAGTTGCAGAATCTGCAGTGAGAGTGATGGACACCGCCTTGACTACTATCTGATTGAATGTGACCATCTAAGAGTCATTAGAAATATGTGTAGAATAATAAACCCCACATTGTTTGAGTTAGAAAAATACTATTTGTCAAATATTGATACTGTTCTTAAAAGATTCCCCCATTTTGCATCCGTAAGATAAAGTAACACCACGTGGGCCAGGAGCCAACAAACACACCACGTGGGCCAGGGGCCAACAATCACACCACGTGGGCCAGGAGCCAACAATCACACCACGTGGGCCAGGGGCCAACAATCACACCACGTGGGCCAGGAGCCAACAAACACACCACGTGGGCCAGGGGCCAACAAACACACCACGTGGGCCAGGGGCCAACAAACACACCACGTGGGCCAGGAGCCAACAAACACAGCACCTCCACCACCCAGGGGCCACACCATAATGGCCAACCACATCACAACTCACACATAACTCGCCAGTATGACGGCCTGGCCAGACTTACGAGGCCCGCCAGGCAGTTACACTCGTGAAACTTTTGTCGGCATGAATTTATGTTCGGCAATTGTATAACTGAGCATTCAGAGGCTAACTACCACGATGCTTTGTTGGTGTCTGAAAGAGAGGAGCGCTAAATGCTGCTGGCCTCTGAGGGACGAGCTCCTAATGTTCTTCTGATAACGCCACTTCATTCTCAATGCTCCCCGAAGGAATGGAGTTCCTGAATCATTCTGTTGAATCACGTTTTTTCAATAATCTGTAACTGATGCAAATGGCGATGCTCTTCGCTTTAAAAGCCGTTGCCATTACCTCGTGTGTTAAAAGTAAGTCTTCTCCGGGTAGTAATATTCAACTGATAATAATAATAATAATATGTTTATTTAGGTAAGGTACATACATACAAGAGATTTTACAAAGGTTGACCGATTTATAGATAGAGCTAGTACATACAATGCCTAAAGCCACTATTACGCAAAGCGTTTCGGGCATAATTACGCCCGAAAGTGGGTAATTATGTCGGTAATTATGAGCCATAATTAGTGGGTAATTATGAGCCATAATTAACTCTCTCCATTTTACAGTGCCACAAACGTACGAGGGAATTACCTAAAAGGTAATAATATACTTGTAATATTAGCATAGCCACCGACGGACTCGACTTCAACAGACCAGATGAGGTATTTTAAGAACAGTGAACTTTACGGTGTGAAGGAGAATGTCATTCTCTGCGGTGATCAGGTTCAAAGTCTGCTTAGTTGGTTGAGAGGGTGTTAGCGGCTTTTTGTTTTTAGGGGGGTTAATATTGTTAATTAATGGAGCCAAATGAGTTGCCAGAATGATGCACACTGAGCAATTGCAAAGATGAAGTTCGGTGCCTCGCCTCACACTCCTAAATGTGCATCGTGATTGGTGGAGCGCTACTGGTTCTGCAGGTGATTGGTGGAGTGCTACTGGTTCTGCAGGTGATTGGTGGAGCGCATCTAGTTCTGCAGGAGATTGGTGGAGCGCTACTGGTTCTGCAGGAGATTGGTGGAGCGCTACTGGTTCTGCAGGGGATTGGTGGAGCGCTACTGGTTCTGCAGGTGATTGGTGGAGCGCATCTAGTTCTGCAGGGGATTGGTGGAGCGCTACTGGTTCTGCAGGGGATTGGTGGAGCGCTACTGGTTCTGCAGGAGATTGGTGGAGCGCTACTGGTTCTGCAGGGGATTGGTGGAGCGCTACTGGTTCTGCAGGGGATTGGTGGAGCGCTACTGGTTCTGCAGGGGATTGGTGGAGCGCTACTGGTTCTGCAGGGGATTGGTGGAGCGCTACTGGTTCTGCAGGGGATTGGTGGAGCGCTACTGGTTCTGCAGGAGATTGGTGGAGCGCTACTGGTTCTGCAGGGGATTGGTGGAGCGCTACTGGTTCTGCAGGGGATTGGTGGAGCGCATCTAGTTCTGCACGTGAAACATACTCTCATTTCTCATCACTGATGTACGTCAATTATTTTTATCAATTACAAATCCAACTACACACCTGCAACTTGGCGTTAAAGGAAGCAACAACAAAATACTCATTATGCCTAAGAGCGGATACTCATATGAAACATTGACTCAAAGTGATGACAATGTTGAGTTTGGTGGAATGTTTAATGTGTTGTCATTCCCTTGTTCAGGTGTTAAATGGTGCAGCTCATCCCCTTGTTCAAGTGCTAAATGGTGCAGCTCATCCCCTTGTTCAGGTGTTAAATGGTGCAGCTCATTCCCTTGTTCAGGTGCTAAATGGTGCAGCTCATCCCCTTGTTCAAGTGCTAAATGGTGCAGCTCATTCCCTTGTTCAGGTGTTAAATGGTGCAGCTCATTCCCTTGTTCAGGTGTTAAATGGTGCAGCTCATTCCCTTGTTCAACTGTTAAATGGTGCAGCTCATTCCCTTGTTCAGGTGTTAAATGGTGCAGCTCATTCCCTTGTTCAGGTGTTAAATGGTGCAGCTCATTCCCTTGTTCAGGTGTTAAATGGTGCAGCTCATTCCCTTGTTCAGGTGTTAAATGGTGCAGCTCATTCCCTTGTTCAGGTGTTAAATGGTGCAGCTCATTCCCTTGTTCAGGTGTTAAATGGTGCAGCTCATTCCCTTGTTCAGGTGTTAAATGGTGCAGCTCATTCCCTTGTTCAGGTGTTAAATGGTGCAGCTCATTCCCTTGTTCAGGTGTTAAATGGTGCAGCTCATTCCCTTGTTCAGGTGTTAAATGGTGCAGCTCATTCCCTTGTTCAGGTGTTAAATGGTGCAGCTCATTCCCTTGTTCAGGTGTTAAATGGTGCAGCTCATTCCCTTGTTCAGGTGTTAAATGGTGCAGCTCATTCCCTTGTTCAGGTGCTAAGATCAACTCTACCATAGATTCCGGCGTCTCAAAATCAACTCAATCTTTTATTCAGTGTTTTTCATTCTAACTTCAAATTTCTCTTGAGGATAATAATGATCAAGGTTGGGCTAGGAAGCGCAGAGATGAAGCTGTAGCTCTCTAGTCATTGTGTTCACAATGACTAGAGCAGCGTCTCTATAGTGACGCTGTTGTCCTTAATGTGTTGGCACACACATCACGCACAAGCTCGGCCGTTCAGTTGGAAGTCTGCCTTGCCACAGTGGTAATGATCTTTCTAATACTTTGACTTCTTCACTGTGTTGGAACAAACGGTGTTCTTTATCCTTGCCGTTTGAAATTAAGTTGATATTGAAATGAAATAATATCTGCTACCGAACCGCTATGCGTACTAGTGGCTTTAGGTACTGTATGTACTATCTCTATCTTTAAATCCATCATTATGTATGTAACTCAATGGACATTGAGTTACATACATGAATACAGGTTACATCAGGTTAACTTGACCAGACCACACACTAGAAATTGAAGGGACGACGACGTTTCGGTCCGTCCTGGACCATTCTCAAGTCGATTGTGTGTACAATCGACTTGACAATGGTCCAGGACGGACCGAAACGTCGTCGTCCCTTCAATTTCTAGTGTGTGGTCTGGTCAACATACTTCAGCCACGTTATTGTGACTCATCGCCTGCATATGTACATCAGGTTACCTTGACCTGAGTAAAGAATCAGAAATATGAAAGTTACATTAGGTACTGTCACTACAAAATAATTCTGCTCCATGATATTTTCCAGAGGAACAAAGTTAATACTCACTCTTAGCTGGTGAACCAGAGGCTCGAGTCCGCCCTCATCACAATTAATTTCTAAGAGCAACCTTTCAGACAGCCGAGAGCTGAGGGAGGTTCCTTTAATGGCATTAAACACTTTAATCCCGTCTCCCAGAACCACACTAAAGTCATCAGGTATACACTTGGAAGCCAAAAAGCTTTCCAGTGAGTGATACAGCGACTCAATTACTCAACTGTAATTCCTTTGCATATAGACTTGTCTAATCTATGTTCTCCAACTGCACCATCGTACGACACATTGAGGGCCAAGACACCAGAGGCCAGATTCACGAAAGTACTTACGCAAGCACTTACGAACGTGTACATCTTTCCCCAATCTTTGACGGCTTTGGTTACATTTATTAAACAGTTTACAAGGAAGAAAACTTCCCATTCAACTGTTGTTATTGTTATAAACAGCCTCCTGGTGCTTCGGAGCTTATTAACTGTTTAATAATTGGAAACAAAGCCGCCAAAGATTGAGAAAAGATGTACAGGTTCGTAAGTGCTTGCGTAAGTGCTTTCGTGAATCTGGTCCCAGGCTTCAGCACGAACCACAACAACAGCAGCTGGAGGCTCTATCAATTGAGATGCATTAAATCCAACAATACAATGGACGAACATGAACAATGAATGCACTCCGATATGCAGCAACATCAACAGTTGAGAATGTTGTTGAGAAGTTGAGAATGTAAATATAGAACAAGAGTTCTACCAGGGTAGAGAGTACCAACGGTAACCGTCATGTGGCTATTACGGATTGGAAATAAAAACCACACCCTTCAGAAACCTGCGATCAGTAGAACAGCAGACATCATAGCTTTGCAAGAAACAATATTTTCCCTGGCAGGAAATCCTCAGCTTAGCCGAGTATGGCCAATATATTATACCGTATGAGCAGGGGAGACAAAGAGGATTAATGATCCTAGCAGTAATACCGTATATAGTATGACAATAAGAACCAGTTTCGTATAGGGATAGAGTAGAGGTACTTAGCGGTAAGAGTCAATATCTTCTTCTGGATGGTATGTGCAGTTTGCTTGAAGGGTTTATCCTCCCTATGACTGTTAATACGCAATTCGCCCCAACTGTCTGCAACAGTCAATATGGCGTGACATATCAGTCGACAAGACAGCACCGAGTGGCTTACCCGACGACAGCACGGAGTGGCTTACATGACGACAGCACGGAGTGGCTTACCTGACGACAGCACGGAGTGGCTTACCCGACGACAGCACGTTGTGGCTTACCCGACGACTGCACGGAGTGGCTTACCCGACGACTGCACGGAGTGGCTTACCTGACGACAGCACGGAGTGGCTTACCCGACGACTGCACGGAGTGGCTTACCTGACGACAGCACGGAGTGGCTTACCTGACGACTGCACGGAGTGGCTTACCTGACGGCTGCACGGAGTGGCTTACCTGACGACAGCACGGAGTGACTTACCTGACGACAGCACGGAGTGGCTTACCTGACGACAGCACGGAGTGGCTTACCCGCCGGCACCACAAACAGTATGGGCAGTCACTACACCGACCAAAAAGCGAGCTGGCCCATCATCTAATTTTTTGTGAATCTTCGCCGCCTAATTATACCTGCATTTACCTGAATTTACCTGAGGGCCAATATATCTTTTGTTGCCTCGACGAAGACAGGATTTTCTCGATCTGGATTTTGAAATTCAACAGCGTTTCGCCATTTACGGCTTCGGCGGGTTCCATGGGGATGAAAAAACTTTTTTTTTCCGTCCTACATTGTGACTTACTTAGCTTGAAACCGTTGCTCCTTGTTTGGGTTACATCTGATCTTTTGAAGAAGTTGTTAGGATCAATATCCTCCAACCTGTTCAGTATTTTAAAAGATTCAATGCGATCAGCCTTGACATGTCTGGTGTGCAGGGTACCTGATACCTGATACCTGCTTGATGGGTTACCTGGTTGATACCTGGTTGATGGGGTTCTGGGAGTTCTTCTACTCCTCAAGCCCGGCCCGAGGCCAGGCTTGATTTGTGAGAGTTTGGTCCACTAGGCTGTTGCTTGGAGCGGCCCGCAGGCCCACATACCCACCACAGCCCGGTTGGTCCGGCACTCCTTGGAGGAATAAATCTAGTTTCCTCTTGAAGATGTCCACGGTTGTTCCGGCAATATTTCTTATGCTTGCTGGGAGGACGTTGAACAACCGTGGACCTCTGATGTTTATACAGTGTTCTCTGATTGTGCCTATGGCACCCCTGCTATGGCATCACTTGTTCTATTCTGCATTTTCTTCCATATCGTTCACTCCAGTACTTTGTTAGGGTTCTGGGAATTCTTCTACTCCTCAAGCCCGGCCCGAGCCCAGGCTGGACTTGTGAGAATTTGGTCTGGAGAGTTTGGGTTGTCAACCTTGTGGCCCTGTGGCCCACTCATAATGGATCAGGTTAATGTTAAGTACCCTCACTAACGGCCAAGTCCAACACCGCAGCTCGTGTTGATATTCAGATTAGGCAGCCAAGGAGCGCTGACACGCACGGGCCGTCGACTGTGTTGACACAGAGAGCGTTATGGCGGTGGTGGGTGTTGACGCCGCGGCCAGCTGACACATCTCACTTACCACCACCTCCACCACGCTCTCGTGTGATGCTTATAAACGGTTCATGTTGTCTGTAACCGCTTTTAACATAATAAAACTAAAGGAAACTTTTGACGAAAGGCGGAAAATGTATTAATAATAATTCAAGAAGTTCTCTAAGACGTCATCGATAGCCTATTTCAGTTTCTTCTATGAGGTAGCAACCCCCCTCCCCAAACACACATATATGTGTGCGTGTATATATATATATATATATATATATATATATATATATATATATATATATATATATATATATATATATATATATATATTATATTGACAATTACGGTGTTTGTAAGGAGGCATATCTCTATTACCAAGAGTAATAGTTTATATGTATATTGTAACGGGTCGGGGGTGGAAGATGAGAGGGCAGAGTGTACTCACCTAATTGTGCTTGCGGGGGTTGAGCTCTGGCTCGTTGGTCCCGTCTCTCGACTGTCAATCAACTGGTGTACAGATTCCTGAGCCTGCTGGGCTCTATCATATCTACATGTGTATGGAGTCAGCCTCCACCACATCATTGCCGAATGCATTCCATTTGTTAACTACTCTGATACTGAAAAAAATCTTTCTAACGTCCCTGTAGCTCATTTGGTTACTCAGTTTGCACCTGTGTTCCCTTGTTCGCGTTCCACCCGTGTTAAACAGTTTATCTTTATCTACCCTGTCAACTCCTCTGAGAATTTTGTAGGTAGTGATCGTGTCTCCCCTTACTCTTCCGTCTGGTATCTTAATAAGGGAATATACCGAGTTTGGTTCTGCGGACAGGAAAATTGTACTTCATCACCCATTGTGTTCTTGACTGCCCGTTGATTAATGTATATAGGAACACTGAGATAAGGACTGTTCCTAAACAAATAGCTGTCACAACGGAAATAATTGATATTCTGGAGAGATATAAGAATTTTGCAACAAGATTGTAACATTTTGTTGAATTCTCTGAATGTCTATTACAGATTGTGTGTGTACCTAGTTATAAAAGTATTTGTGTGTACGTCAGGTAACGTACTGCATGTGTAAAGGAAGAACTGTATATGTTTATCACTCAAAATGTTCGGTAATATGTTTATTGTTTGTGTTGTGTGTTTATATATGTATGAACACGTTGTACTGAACGGGGTGAGAATAGCTTGAGAGCCTCATGAGGCTCTCAAGCCTCATAATAGGATGAGTCTAGAATAGGCTCATCCCTTTATGTTTATTTGTACCTCTATAAACGTATTTCAATTTCAGTTTCCTACAACTACGTTCCTGCCTGCAAATACGTTCTTAAATATGCATCGTGATTGGTGGAGAGACTCCGCATGAGTTGCCACTTAAATAAATTCACAACCATTCGTTTATATTTTTTAGAACTAAATTGTTGCTACTGGTGAAGGGTAGGTTATCGTTCACGTTATGTTCAAGTTCAAATTCAAGTATGTGTATTGAGATAAGAAAGAAATACATCTCAAAGGGATAGAGTAGCTTAGACTATTTCTACACCCCCCCCCCCCCACCCACCCACCGTTATGTTCATCTTATGAATGGCAGCGTAAAAATATATCTGTCTGTCTTCAGAGA